GCTCTGGTACCACCCGATTAAGAACACATGGAATCCACTAGGACAGGAAGAGGTGAGCAGATGAGGACAGGGCACCAGCAAATCAAATAGGATGACAGAAGAATGACAGAGGAGGGAAAGGAAAAGTCAGACATCAAGAAAGAGCAGTTACTCGGTCCCTTTGACCCTGCTGTCCCATTTATAAATGGAATAATTAACCTAAATTCTTGTATTTAAGTATAAAATATCACATGCACCAATATTGGGATGAGAACCAAGGGTTTTCATTGATTCTAATGTCAGGATGATAAACAATGCTGTATGCGGTTATTAAAAAGACCAGGCATCCTTGCTTGCATAAATAGAAATGAAATTGTTTGTAGTGAAGAAGGCAAGACGTCTCATTCCTCTTCTTTCGGCCTGTTTCAGAGCCACAGCATTCCGTTCCAAGAGGCATCCTCACACTTGAATGCATCCAGAGGAGAGCCCTGAGCATGCCAAGGTACTAGAAACCACAGTCCCTGGATGGTCAAGGTCTGATACTAGGAAGGAGGGGAATCCCACTGCACAGAAGGCTCACCCTCTCTGACCATCTCACCTTATGGCTCACGAAATCTTCACCCTGTCTGGCAGTCTTCTTTAGCCTCTTCCCAATTATGGAATCATGCTTTCTTTATCTAGCTCAGTAGACTACAAGGAATTTCACTAGCGGGTCAAAATGATCGGATAGTTGATGTGTATCTGTATAAACATACTATCATTTCTATCCTTCCAGCTTCTAAAAGGGAATCATGCTGGCTTATACTGAGTGATACATGCAAAAAAATAAAAAGCCAAACAGCTGGCAGTGGAGATAGATAAGAAAGAGAAACTATTCTGTCCCTTCTCTGTTCCTCCTCCAATGTTTGCCTTGGACCCCAAGTCAAATATGCCGTCCAACTTAGGCCAACACCTGCCCTGACTTGAGTCTGCTTCAGCAGCACTGAAATAAAAAATCAGACTCATGCCAACTCCTAGTGACCCTACAGGACAGGGTAGAACTGCCCCTGTGGGTTTCTGAGACTGTCACTCTTTATAGGAGTAGAAAGTCCTGTCTTTCTCCCTTTGGCAGCACAGCATGAGTCAAATCTATGCCCTAAGCTTCAGCTTCCCTGGACCACTCCTTCAACGTGTTGCTACTTAGCACAGCAGCGGTAGGACAAGAGTTCACAGTCCAACTGCAGCCTTCTTCCTACAAGTCATACAAAGAACCTGACGTAGAAAGTGCTAAAAGTGGACATAGGGTGGCTGTTTCCCAAAAGTCGCAGGCTGCCATATAATTCATCATTTTAATTTCGGCTTTTCATGACGCTGTTTTATGAACACGTTTATTACAAGAGGCCCGTTTCCTTTTGGATATAAGTAAGTTACACATTAGAAGCGAATAAAGATAGGTCCGCAATATAGCAGACTGCTTAAAGGCAAGGGTTTTAAAGTCAGCTCTGTTGGCTTCAAACGAGAGGCATGACATAAACATACCTTACTTCCTAACATCACTTTGCACCAATTTCCTCACCTTTCAGATGAAGATGTCAACACCAGTGAAGATTAAATAGCTTGATTTACATAAAGCACTTGGCACAGGGCTGGCACTTACTAAGTGCCCAATCAGTGGTAGCTAGTTATCTTTAAATACCTGCATATTTGAAGACATATTCTATAGAAAAGAAAGTGGGGCAGCGATGAGCTGAATTGTGACTTCATTGCCGCCACCTCAAGAAACGGCGTCTGAGTTTCCTCAGAGTGAGATGCACACTCATTCAGGCATGAATAGGTTTCCATTATCCAGAGTATTGTTTAAAGTCTCAAAGTTTTAAAGCCTCAATGGTGAGGCTGTGAGCTCTTGGTTGTTGGACGTATGCCTCCCTATTCCACCATGGTTGCCGCCTCGCTGGTCTAGGTGGTGTGTAAGGTCCCAACTGTAAGACTTCAGATTTGACTTAAAGGTTACCGCAGAGTGAGAACAAGGGAACCAAGAAAGCCCAGGAAGGAACGTTGCCCCGCGGCTTGATCTCAGAAGCCTAAACTAGACCTGAAAGCCGTTTTCTGAAGCACGGCACAGATGAGGGATTCCTGGACCACTGCAGACTCGGAGGTCAGAACGGGAAGACTGTTGGATGGTTTCGCTTGCCTCCGAGAAACCAAATGCACATCCTGATGGAATTGAGCTGTGTGACTGAATCCAGGATTGTGAACCGCTCCTCGGAGTAACGCAAGGAGAGGCCAGGCATGGCCCCAGAAAAAAAGTGCGGGCATCAGAAACAGACTGACCACAGCCCAGGGCCTGCTGCGTGCCACAGAAGCTGGGCTACATCTCAGAAGCTGGGCTATGAGGCATGGGGCAAACCTGAATGTTTGCATCAGTGTTGCAGTTATAAGTGGTGGAGCCGGGTCTCCCTCCACTTTCCTGGAGATGCCACCTTCTTCAGTCCTGCTCCTGGATGGTGGGGCACGTGTTGTGAATGATGGCAGCATTTAATTCTAAAGGCAGTTACTGCACGAGGCTGGTGACCGGATCCCCAAACATAATTCCTTTGCCACCTGTCCATCAGAAGAATCCAGAGGAACTCCGGAGTTAGGAGCAGTGCTATAGCCACGGGATACATGTACGCATCCACTGGATGGATTTAAAGTTTGTACTTGAGCTCTTGGAAGAAAAGTACACAAATCCCACAAAAGTTAGAAACTGTGTAAGACAGAAACCTGTCAGAGAAGGAAAACACATGTATTTTCCAAGAAAGCATGCGATAACGAAGTGGCAAAATGCACCCTGTCAAAGAGAGAGAACGTGCAAGATCCTGAAAAACGAGACAATCCTATGGACGGCTGGCTCTCGGCGTGTGCACTGTGCATTGAAGGCTCGTGAAGGAAACAGCATCAGCAAAATAATTGCCCTTCGCCGGGCGTTTTCAACAAAATGGGGAATTTTAAAGCTGCTCTTGGATTCCCTAGAGAGAAGTGTTCATTTTTGTTCCCAATCAGAAGCTTTTTTAAAAAAAATCCATTTATCAACTCTGAAATCTGCACTAAAACAATTAGAAGCCCTGGGGTAAACAAACCATGTTCAGTCGAATAGCAGGCTCCGGAAGCAGGTCAGAAACATTCACACACTGTCAGTCGGTCAGGATGCTTGGGTCTTGTCTTCTGTTTTATTCATTTATACTAATGTGTGGACAAGAGGGTTGAAAACATTTTACTAAGAATGAAACCCTGAGATTTATTTGTAATTTCCAAGCCTTTCCTTGGGAAAGAAGCCATAATCTGTTTCCAGACAAGAGTAAAACACTTTCAATTCCCTTTGAATAACAACGTCCAATCTTCCCTTAAATTGAGTGCCAGAGCCACCAGATTGCGATTTAAATCAGAGGATAAAATTAGTCCAGGTACATCGGGGCGGAAGGAGAGGCAGAGTGGACACAGTAGTAAATAGCCTATGAATTCAAAATGCAGGGTTCCTCCCGCCCTCCTCTGGTAGGTTTTGATTTCCAACAAATTAGAGAGATAAATTGGCAGTTCACCTACGAGTCACTGGTAAACAAACATTTTTCACCAGCCACTTCATGACTGTCTTTTGAGCTGAGCCCTTTGAAATTCTCTGAAGGACATGGTGGACGTTAACGCTATGAGTTAGTAATCCTTGTCAAGGTCCTAATGAAAAGCCAATATGTCCACCTCATTCCAAGAGCTTTCCATACTAACGGGAACCTTCCTATTATTAACATCAGCATGGCCTAATGGGGAGCTAGAACCTCAGGGGCAGGTGCTGACAACGCCAGCTCTAGTATTTCATCACCTGGTCAAGCCCAGAGAAGCTTAAGTCTCCAATTGGGTATAAAAACCACAGGGTCGGACTCAGCCAAGCATCCTCATATGTAGGATGGATAGAGACTTGGCCAGCTAAGGCTTCTCTGCACTACTGAGAGACAGAACCTTTTGTGGGTCTTCTGACAAGCTGGAATAAGGGAACAACATGCCACACACCTTTGGACAATCCCAGTCCCAGATTCATCCATTCTCCCCTTTGGGTTCTGCGTAAGCTGAGGCCTCTGCTGGCCAGGTTTTGAGGGAAGGAGGGAAACACATTTTGATTGGATCAAGTTCTAGTTCACAGAGATGCTTCATCTCTGCAAATACACCCCACAGCCAGGCTGTCTAGAGCCAGACCTCTCTCTCCAAGGCAAGGGCATCTTAGGACAACTCATCCCAAGGTGGTATTTTCAGTCCAAAACTTTGCCATCAAGAGCACACCCAATCAGCCTAGCAGGGTTTATGTGGACCCTCCATCCTCTCCCCTGTGATGAGCCTTGGTCCCAGGTGAGGCGACTGAGCCAGAGATGAGAGATGCTTCTACAATTTGTTCTACAAAGGCTCAGCAGGGATGGAGGTTGGTTTACACTAATCAAACCTCCCAGCATTATAGGCTGTCCAAGTAGGCTTTTGTCAAACAGTATCCCAAATGATGGGAAGGCGTTTCCAACGAAGACCCAAGTTGGTCCTTCATTAAAGAAAGGGTTCAAATGCATCATCTTTTTTGTGCAGGGGAATGGAGTGAGGTAGGGAGGTGAGACGGTGGGATTCTTAAAGACACAGAAGATCACTAAAGTGATGATCTAACCCCATCGATGGCCTCTCATCCTACAGGGCAAGTGAAGGAGAATCTGGGATTTAAGGGACTGAGACCCTTGTCAAAAGGATATGAAGAAATTAGAGGGGGGAAGGGCAATGAAGCAAACAAACAAGAATCTTTAAATTGTGTGGTTTAAACGGCACCTGGGTGTAAAATCAACTATGGCATGGCTTTTAAGAATAAACACATAAACCTCAGAAGAAGTACAGAGGCTGACTCAATTCAAATCTGCTCCGAGCCTTCCCCCCCCCCCAGCTTCACAAGACTGGACTGCCACAATGTACACAAGCAGAGTATAACGTCAATGGGGTGACATTTTCCTAATTATTTTCTGCTTGAGGTTTACAGCACTTACACACAATGAGATCAACCGGGACTTGCCTCCGTAGCAAATCACTGCGATTTAAACATTGCTCACACGAACACGGGGGCCATGTGCACGAGGCTGGGAAAAGACAGAGAAGGGCTTCTTCAATCACAGTTGCGAGGAACAAAAACCTGGAGGGGGGAAAGAGTTGTTGGACCGCCACCAAATATCCCCCGCTGGAGACAAGAGCCCATCTGCTGAGCTATGCAACTTCACCGCGACCGCCATTCTGCCCGCGTCTCTGCAGAGATCTGTCTGCAGAGCTGGCAGATGGACCCCTGCTTCCCCGAGTCACTGTGTTATTTGTTTAATAAATTTAATTAATATCCATACTGCATTAGAGTGCTCCCAGAAAGGGGCCAGGGTGCTCCCTTTCCCCAATAGCTACACGATGAGTGATTTCCCAGAAAAGAGACGATAACGGTGCCCGAGGGCCACTGCAAAATTAAAAGTACCATGTGCTTACTTGATTTTGCATGCATTAATTCTTTGCTGCACATGAATGTGCTTAGGACGGGTATGTTTACCTTTCGGAAAGGGTGCTATTCCAAAAAAGATGGATTGCATCATCCCGCTGATCACTTAAGGTTTGTTGGAATGTCTTTAAAAAGAACTCCATTTAACTGTATTGTCAACACTTTTATCTATTTCCCTGCAAAAGCAGGAGACATGAAGCACAGGGAGGTTCCCTTTGGCAAACAGCTGCCTTCTGGACTGTGGCTAAATTGAGAAACTCCCCGGTCGTATTGAATGCGTATTTTTTCTCAAGAAGAAAGATGGCAAATGGGAGAGTATAGAGGGTCTCGGACAAAATCAAGGTGTAGCTTACTCTCACTTTATTATGTGAGGGGCTAGTCTTCTTGGAAAGGCATCCCTCCACTTGAGAAGTCTGAGTTAAAACAGTGTTTTTCTGGTCTTTTTAGCCACGGTCACCCTTTTCTTCTGGACAGCACTTTGCATCTTGGCCAAGTTTTCCCCTAGTGAGTTCCAAGAAAGAGGATTCCCTTGAGGATATGAAAGGTGTTCCTTGGAAATGGGATCTGAAGTCGCGTAAGCCTGGGGTTCGTGTTGTCAAGGAAGGCTGATTATACAGGTTTCTGTACGACAAGACTTCTCAGAGCCTTTACTGTGCGAACTAGGCATTTAAAAATATTCCTGGAGAGAGGGCCCGAGATTCAAAATAAAAGGCAGTATGTCTGCGTGCCTAGGCCTGTTCGATGCACTGCCAATATAGGGCAGGTCGTGGCAGTTCTTTAACCCTTGCTGAGTGAATAAATCGATCAATGAATAGATGGATAGGCATGAATGAGTAAAGATGTGAACTCCCAATGTCTTTGCTTAGCAGAATCCTTATGTGCCCGACCTGACCACTGATAAGAACTGTATTAAAAAAGAAAAGAAAAAGTGGCTTCTATTCGAAGCAAGAATGAAGGATACTTGAATTGAAGGTGCTTATATTGAATTTGGAGGATCTGACTTTAGAGGTTTTACTTACCCAAAAATAGGTTGCTTCTGCATTTATACTCCTCTGAACTGCTAAATAAACACCCTAAACAGCCCTCCTACTACTTTTCATGTCATGAAAACCTAATCGTGTACAGTTTTGAACCCGTCCCAGCTCCCTGGCGATACCCTGATTTATTTGTCTTTGATACAGCCTCATCCCTTCCTAGAAACTGCAGTCTGACTGCCAGCGAGCCAATGCTGACTCATAGTGACCCCCTGTGGGTTTCCAAGATTGTCACTCTTTATGGGAATAAAAGTCCAGGCTTTCTGCTACAGAGCTGCTGGTGGTTTTGAACTGCTGACCATGCAGATCGCAGCCCCACGCTTAACCATGACATCACGAGGGGTCCTACAGAAACTGTACAGTGTAGGCATAGAGATGTTGAGATAAAAAGGTACCCCTTTCAAAAGAATCATTTCAAATCCAAAAGCTTATGAAGGCAGAATTAGTTCAGTGATAACTTCAATGTTAAACTTGTTAAACTGAAACCACAGTGTGTGTGTGTGTGTGTGTGTGTGTGTGTGTGTGTGTGTGTTTACTTCAGGATCTTCAATTTGCTAATCTACCCAAATTACTAAATGCATCTCAGTTGACTGTTATCCCTCTCCCTGTCATATGTTCTGACCAACATTTCAATGCAATTTTCTTTGGGAGGTGATATTTTCAATATTCTACCTACTGTGATGTGCTCTAATTGTTTAGAACTCTCTTTGGACCATCCTCACAGCGGGAACAGCAATTAATACAGGCACCTGTGCTTACCAATAAACCTACATGAAAAAGGCAACTACCTCTTACAGTTGTCAGCCTTCTCCTCAAAAGATCTCATTTTCCTTTAAAGAAACATGAAAAACATTAGGCCTAAAAGAATTCAATAAATGTCCTGGCTATCGGCCATTTATAAATATTAAGAAGCAGTCTGGAGACACATTCTCTAAGTGCCATTTCTCTTAGGCTACTAGGTGCTGGATAGAGTACATTGTGTTTCTCCTGCTTCACAGAGCTAATGTATTAGTTCTCTACATTGTGCTGTGTATTAAATGATGCCAAACCTTGCAGCTTAAAACAACAAGCATTTGGTCCCTGGCTGCTTGAGTGTCCTCCGCCACCACCAACGACACAGTGACTATCTGGACTGGGAAGTTCAGGACAAACCGGCAACTTCGGGGAAAATACATGGTCATTGATGTCCTTCACCCTGGAAGAGCAACGGTGCCTAAGACAGAAATTCTCAAAAAACTAGCCAGTGTCATTTTTGTATTTGGATTTAGAACCCATTTTGGTGATGGCAAGATGACAAGGTGACTGGCTTTGGCATGACTGAGGACTCTTTGGATGACGCATAGAAAAATGAACCTAAACACAGACTTACTTGCAAGACACGGCCTGTCTGAGAAGAGAGAGACCCCAAGAAAGCAATGCAAAGAACTCAAGGGCAGAATGGAGACAGTTGGGGGCGCTGTTGGGGCTGGTAACAGTGAGCTGGAGAATGGATCACAGAACGAATAAAGATTCTCCAGGGACTTGAGCTGTCAAGGTTATTGCTGTGGATGTTCCACCACACAATTAATAAATCACAAAATCTTTGTAAAAGCATTTATGCATCACTGTTTCTGTGCATGAGGAAGCTGGGCACAGCTTAATGGGGCATTTCTGGCTGAATGTCTCTCATCCAAACTGTCAGCTGGGCGTGCAGCCTCATCTGAAGGTTAGACTGGGGGAGGTTCCACTTCCAAGTTCACTCACATGGTTGTTGACAGGGTCCAATACCTCAAGAGCAATTGGACTGAAAGTCCCAGTTCTCTACTGGCTGTGGACCAGGCCTCCCTCAGTTCCTTAGCACAAAAGTGTCTCCTTAGGGCAGCTCACAGTATAGCAGTGGACTTCCTTCAGAAACGGAGAGAGCCCTTAGCACAGAAACCACAGTATTATGTAACCTATTGTCAGACGTGACATCCCCTCACTTTTGTCGTATTCTGTGTATTAGAAGTGGATCAATGGGTCTAGTCCACATTCAAGGGGAGGGACTTTAAGAAGGTCTGAATATCAGGAGGTGGAGATCCTTGGGGTCCATCTAATAAGCTGACTATGCTATACAATAAATAATCTCACATACCTGTGCTTCTGAAGAACACACAGCACACAACAGCAACACAAAATCCTTGCCTCTCAACATTTCTTTCTCAAAGCTGTAAACATCCTGTAAAGCCTGTAAACATCCCATTCTCCTGACTGCACTGAAGATGAATGGAGCAGCAAGATCAACAGGGAACAGAAGTTATATACACTGGGCCAGGGTCTGTGTTTTCCTGTCCTCCCTCATGTAGACCTTGGTGGAAGAGAAGGTATGTGATCTGAATGCAAGGTGCAGAGCAAAATGTTGTACTCGTTTTTAAAGAAAGCCCAGTGAATAATGGCAGAGCTTGAAAATGTTACTGCAAAAATAAATAAGTAAGGTTGGAACCCCACATTATGTTCTTGACAAAGTTAGGACGCTTACACAAGCATTGATTCAAAACTCAAATAACTAGCTTATTTATTGTTAATGCACCAATGGGATGCCTCCGTTGCCTTACTGAACTATCAATCATAATGAAATCTGTATGCAGATGTTAGTATTTCCGTTCCATACACCTAAGAATATGGCTTCATCATCTTTTCTACGTGCTTCTACTCTTTCCATTCTAGCTCTGTCTCACTGTAAAAGAAGGAACACACAGTGGGAACTCAGAAAAAGGTAACAGATGAAAAAGGAAAGGAGAAAGGCAAAAACATCATGATTTTCACTCTAGTATTTTCTTTCCAAATGGCATTTCAATAGTAGCTTCCCTTCCCCCAACCCCAATCGGCTGTTGTTGACTTTTACCTCTCCTTCCTGAGCCCATCCCAACACAAAGCCAAAGAGAGAAACCAATGCAAAACATTTCTTTCAAATTGTGACTCATCTCCCAGTAACCTGTTTGACTAAATTCCTCTGCTTGGGGAAGAGACAGCTGGAGTAAAGTCTTTCATGCAGGCTGGCATTTCCACGCTTTACACAATATGCTTATGTCAACAGATTCCATTTTACATAAAAAACAAATAGCTTTCATACACATTTACACCCACCAACAGAGAAAACAATCTAGCCTAAAACTACCCACTTTTACTGAAATTATGGGTAGCCTATACACATGGAAAATATCTCTTTGAAAGCTTTAAAGCCAGAATTAATTCTGGTGGTTTGTCTTTCAAACGTCCACCAAATGTGCTTCCTCTTAAGAGAAAAGTAAGTTCTCAGGGCCTGGCCAGGTTCCAAATGTGCATTTTGGAAAGATCAATTGCTTCTGTTTCTGTGTTTCATGATCTCCCACTCCTCAGGAGGGAACATTTACCCCCAAACACGCATGATACCCCTCATTGGAGAGCACACTGTGGCTGCTCAGAATTATGAGTCAGAAGAAAGGAGGTTCAAAAGCCTTTCTCTCTAAACTAAATAAAATCCTTCTTTTTTTGCCAATCTCAAGAGAGAAAAGTCAAATCACTCTTCTGGTAAGCCAGTGAAT